AAGAAAAGTTTCATGTACCACTTGTAACTCTTGCGAACACAATTGACAAAGCCAATCTGCATGTCACATATTCCAACCAAACGCATGTTTTGTATATAATCAATCACTGTTACTGGTTTTAGAATACGTTCATTAGTCACTCTATCAACTTTGCCACTGTCTTTCATTTCGCTAGGGTGAATGGTTGTCAACAATGTGAGATCTCGTTTGCCATGCCACCGTAATGACATGATGTCATTGGCAGTAAACACCTGCACCTCACCAATATGAGTGCCTGCATTGAACCTGGGCATGTTTTTACGATTAGAATGCACTGTGCCACACACATCTGTCGTGTTCACTCGCAAGAAATCACTGAGTGAAGGGCTTGTGTACCAGTTACAGTGGTCCTTCGTTTATCGTCATTAATCCGTTCCTGGAAGTGCGACGATTATCGAAATAGATGATTTTCGAATCAATTTTCCCCATGAGAAATAATGTAAATACAATTAATCCGTTCCTGACAACCAGAAGTATTAAAACAAAAAAAATTTTTACATGAAATATAGATGTAGTACATAAACAATACAATGGGACATGATGAATGAAACATTAACAGCATAACACTTACCTTTATTGGCGATTCTTCTTAGTGTATGGAAGACTGGAGGAGGAAAGAGATTGGATTAGTTACTGTTTGGAAGGGAAATCCCCTTCTATCAACACCTTAGGTACCAAGTCCTTTCTGGGGTTACTTCTCTGTTTCTTAATGCCACTAGGACTAGCTTGAGAGTCACTGGAGTCCTGTCTCACAAAAAAAGTGTCCAGAGAGCTCTGTTTTTGGCGTCTCTTTAAAACTTCCCTGAAATGGGCCAAGACTGTCACTGTACAAGTTGCCGATATGGCTTGCAACATCCTTCTCAGGGTGATGTTTCTCCATAAATCTTTCCATCCTACCCCACATTTCAGAAATCTCCTTAATTTCTAAAGAAGGCACCTTCTTCCATCTCTCTTCCTCCTCCTCTGCAGCAAGATTGTGAGCTGCGATCTGTTGCTGTTCCTGCTAAAGCTCTTGCAGCTCCTCAGTGGTTAGCTCTTCGTTGTGGTCCTCCTCCAACTCTTTCACATCCTCCAAACTCACATCGAACCCCATGGAACTCCCCAATGCCACAATAGATTTCATAACTGACATAGGCTCATCAGGGTCATCCACAAACCCTTCAAAATCCCTCTTGTGGACACAATCTGGCCACAATTTTCTCCAAGCAACATCAGCTTCCTTGATTTCCTTTTTCTTTGCCACGATGGAAGATATGGTTGTATGGGGTTTGTTATGCATCCTAGCCAGTTCGGCCACACGTACACCACTTTCATATTGTTCAGTGCTGTTTTTCTTAAATTCAGTCGTATTTCTCACCTTCTTTACCAAAGGCTTGGCACTAGGAGCTTTCTTTGGAGCCATTGTAGCTTATTTAGCACTTGCAAGCACTAAAATGAATGGAATATTATGAAATACAGTGGACCCTTGACTAACGATATTAATTGGTACCCGAGAACGAATATCGTTAGTCGAGTTTTTTTTATCATTAGTCGAGGCAACATGTTAGCGTTAACATGTATTGTTAGTCGATCGTTGGTCGAGGGTCCACGGTATTTCGTATGAACAAGTGAGGGGGACCGTCGCTCACTGGTAAACAATAGCACTGGCTGGGTAGGGAGGCCAAGGCGGCTCAGAGCCGTGAGTACGCGTCCAGGACGAACGATGATTAGCGAGTCAACCGACCATTTGCGAGCCAATGTTTGGACAAAAATAACGCGACGATTTCCGAAAAGGACAACTATCGAGCCCGACGATTATCAAGGGACCACTGTACAGTATATAATGTATGCCCCTTAGCAAGATAAGGTGCCATTATGTTTCTCACTACGTCACTTGAGATACCCAGTAACATCCTGGTATCTTTCAATGTTTTACTTCCCGTGTATACAGTTACATCCAATACCAGGCCACTGTCACAGTCACAGAGTACAAACAGTTTTATACCAAAGCATTTCCTCTTGCTCGGTATATACTGCTTGAACAACAGTCTACCTTTGAACGAAATCAAAGACTCGTCAATTACAAGGTTCTTGAATGGATAAAAGTACATGTTGAATTTTTGTTTCAGATGCATAAAAACATTTCTAATCTTGTATAACTTGTCATTTCTGTCAGGCCTGGTTTTGTCAGAGAAGTGCAACATACTTAACAGATAAACCTGTTCACTGGAATGATTTCACTGAAGGCTGGGGTACAAATTAGCTGATCTGTGGACCAGTATGATTTTATATTATGCTTATAGACATGAGGCATAAACATTATTGTTGCAAAAAGCAAATACATTTCAGCCACAGTTGTCTCTCTCCACCAGTGTAGTCTTGATATGATCATATTTGCCATGGTGTACTCAAAATACTTGTTACTTTCCCTGGCAATAATTTCCATCAAGGGCTGGTCAAAGAATAGTTCAAAGAATTCCAATTCATTTGCAGTGTTTCCAAGGGAACAAGCTGGTAGGATTCCACTTTGAGAGTCTTCAAACTGATGGGGATTGGGAACAAAATTGGGATTTTGCTGCCAATCCCAGATGCGGTTTGCTGGTGGATACTGGACATCATAAGCTGGTTGTGGTTGTAGTTGTGGTGTGGTGGTGAATGATGCTCTGCTTTGTCATGGATCTGATGAGTCAGTTGCATGGGTCCCAACCTGGGCTGGTGAGTCATGCATGGCTGTGTCACTGCCACCACCACTATCACCACCAATACCACAACCTACTGATGCCTGTGGTCTATCCATGCCAAGTGTAGCCACATCATCCTCACTTTCACTGTCTATTCCTGGTTAGGGTCACAGGATGTACTCCAGGATGTACTCTGTCCCCTTGGCACTACATAGGGAACTCTACTCGAGCACATGCAGTGGCGTATAGACCGATGCTTCAGTGGTGAATATGATTCATCACTATCACTACTCGAATGATCATCAAGAGCAATAAGATCAAAATCCACATCACTATCATTGCCATTACTCAAGTCTGAAGCCTGGCCATGAGAAAATATTAGTTTTCTCTTGCGACGGGGTACATCTGAACATGACTGAGACATGCCCACACCAGAGGTAGAAGGTTAAGGATCGTCAGGATTTTCTGCACTATTTTCGATATCCTGGTCATTGCTTTTGGTCACTAATTGATCAAAACCATAGAATTCCTCTTCTTTTCCACTTCCATCAGAGTCAGAACTATCAGTTAGGAAGAGGAGAGTCCCAATTCGCCTCAGGGTGAGAGCTGTCTTGCCACTTGTTGGGAGGCATGGCGAACAAAGCTTACTGAGGCGGCATTCCCACAATGCCATGCGGGCACCTAGAATTTTTGTTTATGGCGCACACACACCACGCAGACCCGTTCTCTTAGATGTAGGCCTACCAGCCTTCTCATGCTAAATTTGAAGCCGCTAGAATTTTGGCGTAGTTCTATGGTTTGGATCCACAACTCAAAGCCGTAGAACTACGGCAAGGACCCTGAAAGGGTTAAGTATGGGTAACGGATATAGTGATATCAAAAATATGGAAATAAACACACATGCACAGTTAGACATTTATTAGGAGATTGTTTAGTGGTGTAAACAAAAAGAAATTTTTTGATTAAAATGATCTCTTTTCTACATCTGAATTGCAGTGTGTATTCTGTTGCTTTTAAATACCACAATGCCCTTTTAGTGAAGAGCTCTTTTATAATTGTAACTTTAGTTAGACTTACTCTGCATATAGGAAGGGATTCAGAAAAAAATTAGCAGGTACAGTATTGTACTATCAGTGCACTCTGAAAGAGGGTGGGGATGTTGCAGTTGAGAGGTGTATTCAAATAATATTTGCACACATCTGGCAAGACAGCTATGAAATTAACAATAATGAGCATGTCTTTTTTCTGTGGGTCTTCGTGCCTTAGTGGGAGACAGCCAGTGTGGTAAAAAAAAAAAAATATCTTCTAATTCTTTATCATGATTCATCACATTTTTTCCATTTTTGTGTGATTTCATAGCCAGCTCATCCTTTCTTGCATCTCAGTGACAAGCAAATGCCAACCACCTTAGATCCTTAATAATCCAACAAAAAGCTGCTGTGTGGGTGATAACCAGCTCCTGTGCTAGACAGCACATCCCACCACTTTTCAAAAGACTCAACTTGCTAAATATACAAGACATACACTCTTTTTATTGTGCCTACTACATATACATATAGAACATTAAACTCCACTGTAAAACCTCCCCTAAAACTACTCGACAGTTACAACAGAATGCACAGGCACAATGCAAGGCATAAGGCACTTTACAACAACCTTCGAGTCAGACTCTCCCTATGCAAGAACGCTATGTACATAAAAGGCTCGAAGATCTGGAGCTAGCTACCGGAACAGGTCAAGGATCCCCCGACAGCTTATAAATTTAGGACCATGCTAAAAAAATCATCTTATCTCACAATATTAACCAAATCAACCAAACATCTGCTAACAAGTTTTATTATGTGACCTGGCTTTTAATTCTGCCATTCCATAAAATATTACCACCTGCACCATTACTTATAAGTTAGATTTTGTACTAAGTTTAAATGAGAGTGTATTAAGTTCAAATAAGATTGTAAAACAGCTAACCACTATTCCTTGTTTAGTTTTAAGTATAGTTACTATGTACTATTATCTTATTTAGTTTTAATTAGATTAGTTTGCCCAAAATGCCTCAGCATGATAGTGGCTATCTTTGTACTTAGCAAATCAAAATTGTAATTACACATTATAACCTTTACAAAGAAATAAACTTTATTTTATTTATTTATTTTATTTATAATTATATGATTAGTATGATAGTCAATCCTTCATATTGAATTGTTTATTGTTTTCTTTCAGTTTAAGTATCGTATTTGTTTAAAGTACGCTACTCATTCTACATGGAATTCTGCAAATTACATTTTTTTTCCCTATTTACAGGGTTGGGCAGTACAACTATTAATGAAGGCACCATAAACATGGAGAAAATGGTGCAACTTCTTCCCTCTCTACCAACCACAGGCACACTGCCAACCACAGTTGCTCCAGTAACAAGTAGCACAACACCCACCACAGCAACAGGCACAACTCTCAGTACAACTAATATTGTTACCACTGGCTCTGGCCAGCCATATATTCATCCATCACTTGTGTCGGTGAAGGAGGTGCAGGCTACACTGGGTAAGTTATGAATCTCCTCCAGTATATTGTATAGTAGGACTACCATATCCGCAGTTCCGGTTTCAACGGTTGCAATATCCGCGGCTTACCCTCTGCTGAGTTTAATAATGGCCCCGGAGTGCAAAAGCGGTGATGGGGGCAGTTCTTCAAAGCCTAATAGAGGCCATGAAGTGCATCCATCAGTGAAAAAGTGCTAATTCTCAACTTACTGGGCATAATATCAATTAAATTTTATTATAGGTATGTATGTATGTTGTGTATCTTTACATGTATATGCTTCTAAACTGTTGTATTCTGAGCACCTCTGCAAAAACATTGATAATGTGTGAGTGTGGTGAAAGTGTTGAATGATGATGAAAGTATTTTCTTTTTGGGGATTTTCTTTTTTTTTTTGGGTCACCCTGCCTCGGTGGGAGACGGCCGACTTGTTGAAAAAAAAAAAAAATTTCAGCCGCTTTGTGGTCTGAACTGGCAGCTTCACCATGCCTAATCATACTATGTATGCCACTACGATTCTTAAATCTTTCAAACCAACCTTTGCTGGCCTTAAATTCACTCGCATCACCACTAGTTGCAGGCAATTTCTTTACCAAATCGTCATGCAGCTGCCTAGCCTTTTCACAAATGATCGCTTGAGAGATGCTATCTCCTGCTATCTGTTTTTCATTTATCCACACCAATAACAGTCTCTCAATATTTCCTAACACTTGCGGTCGCTGTTTCGTAATCACAGTTGCACCTTTTGCAAGAACAGCTTCCTTGATTGCCATTTTCCTGCTCACTATAGTAGAGATGGTTGATTGGGGTTTACTATACAACCTGACCAGCTCCGACACACGCACTCCACTTTCGTACTTTGCAATTATCTCTTTCTTCATTTCAATAGTCATTAGCACCTTTGGTCTCGAAGGGTTGGCACTAGAAGCTTTCTTGGGGCCCATGGTGACTTATTTTGCAGAAACAAGCACCAAAAACAGTGATAATATGGATAATATGGAATGTACCGAATGTATCCTTAGATGCGCACACACTGACTGGTACACACTGGGAAGTTCAGGCCACACGTGGACACGTCTCGTACGAATTGCATCGCATACCGGGTTTTGTAACGGGAACCGAGGCAAATTTTTGGCAATATAATGCATCGGTTACCGGATTTATCGGATACCGATAGCATTGCGAACCGGGGGTCCATTGTATATAGGGTTTGCTACTATCTGTGGTTTACGGTATCTGTGGTTTACGGTATCTGTGGTAGGTCTTGGAATGTATCCCTGCAAATACGGGGATCCTACTGTACTCTAGTGTCTTCTTTTTGCTTTCCTTATCTACTCTCTTGTATGTCTTTGCTTCTACTGTCATTGCCTGAGCTAGAACAGTTTCCTTTTGTACTTGGACATCTAACATTTGATGCATGTGCATCCTTGACTATGGCTCTTCTGCACCTTCCTTTAACCATTCTTCTTATCTTTTTTTTTTTTTTTTTTTTTTTCTCTCTGCTGAAAAATTTATTGTCATACCTATATGTTACAAATAAGGGTTGGATGTGAAAAGTGGGTTATAGTAAGTGTTTATGCACCTGGAGAAGAGAGAAGTGTAGAGGAGAGAAAGAGAGGTTTTGGGAAATGTTGAGTGAGTGCGTGGGGAGTTTTGAACCAAGTGAGAGTGTACTTGTGGTTGGGGATCTCGATGCTAAAGTGGATGAAAATGTTGAGGGAGTAGTAGGTAAATTTGGGGTGCCAGGGGTAAATGTAAATGGGGAGCCTTTAATTGAGCTATGTGTAGAAAGAGGTTTGGTAATAAGTAATACAGTGGAACCTCAAAAATCCAATGTATCACATATCAAACGTTTCGAAAATAGGACCATTTTTTCGGGCAGTGTCCCTATTATCGAACGCACCCCTATTTTCGGACCGCCGGGTACGGGGCCTGTCTGCCACCCACTCTGTCCGTGTCCCCGCGCAGGCGCCGTGAGCAGTCTAGCTTTGTTTATGCTTGAGTGAATACTAACCTGCGCTCTCATTCACGCATTTTACGATTATTTCGTTGTGTTTAGTGCTTGTGGGACTGTGAAATAAGCTGCCATGGGCCCAAAGAAACTTGCTAGTGGTACCCCTGTGGTAAAGAAAGTGAGAAACACCATAGATGTGAAGAAGGAAATAATACAGAAGTATGAGAGTGGTGTGAGACTTGTTGAGCTTGCCAGGATGTATGGGAAAAACAAGTCGACCATCGGTTCTATCCTGTCAAAGAAAGAACAAATCAAGGAAGCTGATGTTGCGAAAGGTGTTAATATAGGGAGTGGATGAGGTGCCTTCTTCAAAGATTAAGGAGATTTGTGCCAAGTGGAGTGATGTCCAAATGTTTTGTGCAGAAGTACCACCCTGAGCAAGCTGAAACAAGCCATCTTTGCAACAAGTTCAGTGACAGAACCATGTCCCATTTTAGGGAAATGTTAAAGAGGTGCCAGAAACAGAGGACTGTGGACAGTTATTTTGTGAGACAGGGGTCCAGTGACTCTCAAGCTGGTCCTTGTGGCATTAAAAGACAGAGAAGGGAAGTAACCCCAGAGAGGGCTTTACCTGAAGTCCTCATGGAGGGGGATTCTCCTTCCAAACACTAACCCCAACTCCCTCTCTCCTCCTTATCTTCCAGATTTTTTTTTTTTTCAACAAGTCGGCCGTCTCCCACCGAGGCAGGATGACCCAAAAAAGAAAGAAAATCCCCAAAAAGAAAATACTTTCATCATCATTCAACACTTTCACCACACTCACACATTATCACTGTTTTTGCAGAGGTGCTCAGAATACAACAGTTTAGAAGCATATACATATAAAGATACACAACATATCCCTCCAAACTGCCAATATCCCAAACCCCTCCTTTAAAGTGCAGGCATTGTACTTCCAGATGCCATCACCAATCTTCAATAAAGGTAAGTAAAAATGTTGTTTTATATGTATTACTATACATAATTAAAAACTATAGTATTTGTTGTATGTAAAACTGTAATTAATCTCTAGAAAATGTATTTTTTGTGTGAATATTTTTGGGTTTCTGGAACGGATTAATTGTATTTCCATTATTTCTTATGGGAAATATTGCTTCGAATTTCATACTTTTTGAATTTAGAACTAGCTCCTGGAACGGATTAAGTTCGATTTTTGAGGTTCCACTGTACATATTTTATGAAAAAAGAGGATAAATAAGTATACAAGGTATGATATAGCACGTAATGAAAGTAGTTTGTTAGATTATGTATTGGTGGATAAAGGTTGACGGGTAGGCTTCAGGATGTACATGTTTATAGAGGGGCAACAATACAGTGGACCCCCGGTTAACGATATTTTTTCACTCCAGAAGTATGTTCAGGTGCCAGTACTGACCGAATTTGTTCCCATAAGGAATATTGTGAAGTAGATTAGTCCATTTCAGAGCCCCAAACATACACGTACAAACGCACTTACATAAATACACTTACATAATTGGTCGCATTCGGAGGTGATCGTTATGCAGGGGTCCACTGTATATCGGATCATTATTTAGTTGTAGCTACAGTTAGAGTAAGGGGTAGATGGGACAAAAGGAAAATGGCAATAACAAGTAAGAGAGAGATGAAAGTGTATAAACTAAGGGAGGAAGAATTTTGGGTGAGATATAAGCGACTATTGGCAGAAAGGTGGTCTAGTGCAAGATCATTCTGCTCTTGACTCTCGCCCAGGCAGGTCATAGCAGCTCTCCTTACTTACTCTGTCTCCCTACGATTCCCGTTGGGGAGGGGAACCTTTACCAGCGTTGTCATCGCCTTGACTTACACGATGAGCTATGCAAATCGTGTAAAGATCAAACCAAGAAATGGTACCGTTGATGATTCAACAAAGATTGCTCTTGCAACTGTTGTTCAGGGAGCACTGGAAGTAAAATTCAACACCATATTGTCACTGAAAGAAGCATTCATTGTTGTGTGTCACGATGATGCTGAAGCAGAGAAGTTACTCACTACAGAAGCCATCACTACTCTTACTACTCAAGGGTTTACTGTTACGTCATCTCCTGCCCTCAGGGCAAGGAAATCAGCATGTCCAGTAAAAGACAAGAAGTTCTGCACTACATATGGTAGTGAGGGACACACCTTCAGTTCCTGCACCGCTGCTGCTCCAACACAACCAGCGTGCTTAAACTGCAAGAGTAATGATCACCATACACTGGCAGCAAAATGTCCTACAAGAAAGGATATTATGAAGAAAACACAAGATGCAGCAAAGAAAAAACCTACTAGCAACACTCCAACGTATGCAGCAATTGCAAAAATACAAGCAGACACTACAAAATTACTTCAAGCATCTACTCAGCCCGCCTCCACCACCACCACTACCATCACTCCTCCAACATGTGACGTAACGAAGATTCACTATTGTCTACTATACGCTCATATGCAAAACATGGCTGTACCTGGATCATTTAACTCTACCATCAACGAGTTATTTGCATTAAATAACATGCCTTCATTTACATTTCCAGCATCTCCACCTTCTGAAGAAATTCTCAAATTCACCAAAAACTTAATCGCCAACTCTTCTGCAGAAGTTCCATCAACACCACCAACTAGTGACGTCAGTCCAACAACGACCAATGAGAAGCCTCCACCGCCACCACCTCTCACTGAATCCAACCAATCAGAAGCCTTACCACCAGAAACATCTGGTGGCCTGGTGGCTAACGCTCTCGCTTCACTCGGTGAGGGCCTGGGTTCGATTCCCAGCCAGAGTAGAAACATTGGACGTGTTTCTTTCCACCTGTTGTCTATGTTCCCCATCAGTAAAATGGGTACCTGGGTGTTAGTCGACTGGTGTGGGTTGCATCCTGGGACACTGACCTAAGGAGGCCTGGTCACAGACCGGGCCGTGGGGGCGTTGACCCCCGGAACTCTCTCCAGGTAATCTCCAGGTAAATTCGTCTACTGAAGTTGAAAACGAAGCAACACCACCTTCCTCTACTCC